GGGAGAGGGGGAATGTACGGCTCGATTCTTTAGATTTTGTAGCTTCAAATTTTCATTCAACGTTAGATCATGCATTTATTTCAAAATAACTAAATCGACCAGTAATTGCGTAATTAGGGCAAAAGGGTCAAAGGGGTGGATGAGTTTGTGAGGAAAGACACAATCAACGGCGTCCATTTTCTACAATAGCGGAGCTTTCTCCTCGCCACCGCACAACAATGGATGGTTTTCTTTCTCTGCTACTATTCTTGTTTAACTTTTTCTTAATTCTGTTACTACGTAAGAGAATCGAGGAAAGGAAAGACACGTATCGCAAAAATTCAGTCCCACCTATGTCTCCTCGGAGGACAAATATTAGAGAACCTAAAGTGGATCATGCCATCACAACGCAGTTTCATGCATCCCAAATGCAAAACTTGAAGCATTCTCTACCCTTCTAGTTAAGCAACATAAGTTGCATGTTTTCTTCAAATACGCATTAGATATTCAACAGGATGGCAAATCTGGAAGAAAGTTTGGACAACTCCTATGCTGAGACCCATAGTTTTCACCAAATAGAAAAAAGTTTAAGCTGCTAAATTGTAGGCTGTGGCTATTATAATTTGGCAGTCAATTGAAACGGGAAGTATCACTGCAAAGTCTGATATGTGCAACAGGCAGCTCTCATGATGCAACATCCCCTTTTATTCTCCTAAGACGAAAGGATTTTAACTAGAAAGCGGCCATGAAGATCTCATGATGCATGGTGACAGTCAGTAATCAACTAGGCCAGCATGTCATATTTTGCTTATTTGCACTTCTTCCATTTGAATAAAAGGGCAGAAGTTCAAGAGTTCAGCTATATCCAAGACAGAAAGTTAGCCCATACAACTAAAACAACAATATACGCCTCAATCCCAAGCAAGTTGGGGTTACGAATCTTCACTGGCATGTTTCTCCATTTAAAGTCATCTCAGGCCAACATCATACAAATAAAAATTACCGAAAGTTCTCCATATTTTCTGTAGGGATAAAAATCTCCGACGGTTGAAATTCCTAAAAAGCATAGGACTAAACAAAATAAACTTACATGACTAAAAATATGCCCAACTAATTGGTATCGCTTAGGTAGATCTTTTTGCTCCATCGTACCCTATCTTTCGCTTGGTCTGCATGGATTCGGTTATACTTGGGGTTAATATTCTTTAAGACATGCACCTCGTTACAAAACCAATATGACCGCTACTGCTGATGTATTGCATACACACTTCCATTCTGCTGCCTCTTAACATAAGCTTCTAACTGTCCTGTTGCTGCCAAGACCAGACCTGTCGCACAAAGACAAATATGATAGATAGATCTTAGGTAGAAGGATCATCACATCATGTCGAATTAACAAGTTGCAAACTCTGTTAGAATCCTATTTTGGTAACGGCGTAATACATAGGAATACAGTATCATCGCATAATTAATATATGTATAACATTTGTCTGCTCAGCTTATCAGGTCCTCTCTTCCACCACCAGCCTCGAGAAAAGAAAGGGAAAAAAGATCCACTTATACCAATATATTGACAGGGTCAAATAAATTTGCAAATTGCCACTAAAGGAAGCGATGGACGAATACAAAACATGCTTGGAGAGAGAAATGCAGAAACAAAACGGCTCGAGGAAAAGAATGTTTAAACTAGTTATCCCCTATAACCCTCCCAACTAATTGTTCCCCATATCCTTGGCCACTGCTACCCTAGTCTAAAGAAACATATACATATATCTTCATACATGTATATATATATCAAGACACATAAGAACAGCCATAGATTTCTTAAGCAATATAAACAACTTTTTTAAACTGATAAATCTTCCTTGTGAAGAAATAAAGGACATCATGCGATGTCACTGCCTAGAGCAACACAATATAACAGTAAGCACAGAAACTGTATGGAACTATGAAACTGCCTCTTAGATAAAGGACAATACACATTTACATCAATGTCAATAATAGGGAAATAATAAGAACCAAAAATGCCATTTTCTTTTATATAGCATGAAGTCCATAGTTATTATACTCAGCACAGACACATTCATCCAACTAATCCCTACCTAGAAAAGGAGCAGACGGCCTCCCAGGCCTTGACTTAAATTCAGGATGAAATTGCACCCCAATGTAAAATGGATGATCTGGAAGTTCCAAAATCTGCATAAAAAGCGTTTTTTTTGGGTTGGGGAGGAAGAACAAGTCAACAATAGAAATAACAGAAAGAAGAAATTAATCAGGAAATCACAACAATGTGACCAAACGATGCACCCAAGGGTGAGGCCTAGTGGTCAATGAAGTGGGAGGAGAACCATGAGGTATCGGGTGGAATAGTTGAGGTGTGCTCAAGCTAGCCCCAACACCGCCGAGATTTTTGAAAATAAAGAAAGACGAAAATGCGACCAAATGATCACTGACATAGAGCAAGAACAATGTCACAAAGAACTAGTTTTTCTTTTCTTCAGGAAGTCAATAGTGACTTATAACCTATACTGCAAAAACAAACCTCCATCCGTTTCCCACTTTCATCCCTTCCTACAAATTTCAAGCCGGCTTCTTCCAAAGAGCCAACAATCTCAGGATTGACCTACAACATACACAAAACACTAAAACATTATGCTGCAGGGATGACAACATACATGAAACGACCATTTCAATGCAACAAAGTTAACTCTTATGGTTTAACCTCATATCTATGGCGATGTCGTTCGTCCACATATTCTGAATTGTTATACCTGCCAACAGAAAGAATGTTAGGTACTCTTATAAACATGCAATGCAAATATCAAAGAAATCCTGCACAGGTGCAAAAACTCAGGTAGTCTCAATGAAAAAAGATGTCCAAACGAATATCATAGTCCCCATCACAAATCAGGCTTGACAACTTTAAGATCAAGTGTTATGCTCATGTCAGAGGTACACAGCATAATTCTAAGCCTATTTCAAAGCCTAGGAAGCCCTGAAAGATGCTTAATGACCCAATAATCTGATGGAGGCACTCTAATGATGATAGATGAAAGCTTTCTAGTCCAATTCTTATGATTTAACTGTGAAATGATGATGTATAGAATCTGTACAGCTTTGCAGTGATACAATCAGGAGTCTGGAACAACGTTCTTCGAGAACCAAGCCTCATTGTACTTCCCATATGTGTTTTTGATCCCTGCATTACCAAGAAGATGTAGTAGAGAATCTTACTAATCCATACTTTGAAAAGAATGTAGCAGCGAAAAGGGAAAAAAGGTAGAGGAGTTCATTATAAAAAGGCAATACAGCATCCATCTATTTATGCTTTATAGAGAGCAAGCTACCTCTGGCATGAAAATTACAACACGCTCAGGTGTCTGGGGATCAAACTCTTCACTGTTGGCCTTCTCCAAATGTAAAACCTTCAACGGTTAAACCATATAGTGCCAACTATTAGAGAGTTTATCAAACACAATGAATCTTCTGATTTGATGTTCAAGAAAATGAACTCACAGATCGAGCAAACTCAATAACAGAGATCTGCATCCCTAAACAGATCCCCAGATATGGTACGCTATTCTCCCTGGCATACCTTGCAGCCAACATCATTCCCTTGACACCCCGATCACCAAATCCACCAGGAACCAAGACGCATGTTGCACCCTGCACAGGAGGATTTGATTAAATAGCCTCTAAAATGAACAAGATTTCTGCACAACCTTGCTAGTGAAATTGTCAGAGAAAATAGTTCATAACAGCACAAGACTACACACTCAGCTTAAAATTCTTGGTAATATTAGATGACGAAAACACTATTCATGGATACACTGCATGCTATTGTAATAGAAGCTTAGAATTTGACTGGAGTGACATATTCACACACATCTCACATTAGCACTCAGCAGTAACGAGGCATCTTCAGGTAGACCTTAGAAAACCACAACCACCATGAGCTAGAATTGGGTAGTGGGTACCCACAATAAAAGTACAAATGGAAGCAAGATGATGAAAGTTGGCAGGTGGACTAAAGGCCAACCTTGAGTAAGTAGCAGTGCAATAAAAATTTGAATTTTCAAATTCATCCAAAATAAACATCGAATTGTCAACACGCCAAGGAGACAACATGACGTGTTAAAGAGATGATCAGCTAAGAAGTTGGTCACCCTTGCTCTATGACTAATATTGCTATAAAAAACTACTGTTTTTTTCTTCTCACTAGAAAAAGCAGGTGGAGTAATTCATGTCTAAATAAAGTGAAAATATTGAGCAAACCATGAGCAATAACTGGAGCAAGAATGACGGATGACATAACTATTACTACTAGACAAGGATCAAAATTTACCCTTAGAGTCTTCCATGCAGCTGCATGAGCTTCTGGATTCTATGGAAAAAGGTAGTTACAATCAGCAGTCCGAGGCAGCACTTAACGGGAAAAAGAGGAAAAGGTAGGTACCAATTTAGCACTATCATCTTCAAGATCTGATGCTGCAATCCAGTCGATTGATGGCTTCAATGAACATGCAATACAGGCATGCATAAGAGCCTGGAAATATGAAAAGGAACATAGAGAGACAGAGTAGTCAATACCAAGTAACAGTTTTAAGCTGCAAAAGTCTTATCTTTCTATTCCAGCACCAGGAAGTAGAATATTAGCAATGTCCAATAGGAAAATGCTACTTTGAAAATAAAATCGGAAGCAACACATGCAGGCCGGTTCCTGAAACTTCAGTTTGGTCTATTATGCTTTAAAAGAAATGTGGAGATGTTCTTTGCAGTATCATTAATGGTACCTTCACTACAGACAAATATGAATCTGTTAG